GACGGGGCGAGCGGAGACCGGCGCTCACCTTGCAGCTTCCTGCTCAGCTCCAGCTTCTCCTGCTCCAGCCTCCGGATCCTCCTCTCGTACGCTTCCACCTGCAGGCTGTTCTCCAGGTCCCGCTGCACACCCTCGTCTTTGCTCAGCGTGTTGGACTGCATTATGCTCTTTAGGGAGCCTCGGTCAGAAAAGCAGCTGCAAATAAAGCAACGGGGTTTCTGATCCACGGAGCGTACAGCGACTTCTTCGGCATCTGGAGACTCTCTGGGGCCCAAGAGAAGTCTTTTGAACGGGCAGACGAAGGCCCGTGGCCAGACCGTCGTGGATGGAGCCAAAATTCAGAAGGAAGACCTCCTTACAGCAAGTGATGGGATGATGGGGGGGGGGGGGGGGGGATGGCGGACAAGGCCGTGCCCTCAGAAGGGGTCAAGGAAAAGGCCTCTGCCAAGGAGGCAAGCGTACTTTCTGCGTCATCGTTTACGCGCGCCCAGAAACGCCACAGGAGACATCGTGTGAGGAGCTGGGCGCGGGGGCCTCGCCAAGCCCTCGCTGGACGGCCCTGGGCAGTCCTGCCGCCGAGGGCTTCCTGAGCAGTCTGAGGACAGGGCTCACCTTCCCCTGCAGACTCGACGGCCGCTAGCACTCGGGGCGGCACGGCCACTCGCCAGAGCCAGTCCGCAGCCTGCACGCACCCAGACTGAGACCCCAAGTGGTTCTCTCCCTCAGAACCAGGCCACCAGTTACTTAGTTCCTCCCGCTTTTAACACGACAGCGATGCCAGGGAGCCTTCTCCGAGTCCTGCCGCCCGGAGTGCAGCAAAGGTACCGGGCACACGTGTATGCAAGGGCCTGGCCAGTGTTTCTCAAAGGTGGCCCGAGAACGCGGTGCCAGCACCACAGGGTCTGTCCCAGGATGGCGGCCCTGGGCCTGACCCGCCAAACTGGAGCCTTGGCGGGTGGGCCTGGGACCTGCAGGTTTAACAAGTGCCCACTGAGTTGGAACGGATCAGAAAAATCCAGAACCTCTGCATGAGGGATTAAGAGGTCATCGTGCCTCCCAGATCTAAGACCCCTTCCTGCGGGCTACGAGGCGTCTGCCGTCACTCTGGCTGAAGTGCTGTTGAGCCCTGGCACCTTACACCAGGAGAGTTTCTGCGGGCTTGAGCAGAAACCGTCCTCTCCGGAAGGAGTTCCCGTCCACTGAGGTATGAGCCGCTAGAAGGCCACGTAGCCCTCCTTCAGGCGCTTCGAGGTTCCGTCTGTTTCATTTTGCCCTCCCTCCCCTCCCCTCCTGGCCCAGTTTCCTGTTCAAAGCAGGTACAACCCTCAGGCAACAACTTGGCAAAGAGGCCCATTCAAGACAGAGGCTGACAGGTACAGTCACCGCGGCGCTCAGGGCTGGAGCCCTCCCGGCTCTCCAGACTGCCAGCCTGTCTGGGACCGTGCTCCAGCCCCCTGGGGGGAGCTACAGAGCTGCAATAAGATCCTCACAAAAGCTAGCATGGTGCCGTAACGAAAGCTGGGCCTGACCGGGAGCCCCTGAAAGTCTACCGGAATGAGTCCTGACAACACTGACGGCCTGTAAGTCAGAAGTCAGCTGACCGCACCTCCCATGAGCTAAGAATGGGTTTCACATTTAAAGGGTTGTTAAAAAAAGACGGCTACCTGACAGAGACCACCCTTTGTGGAGAAGCCGGCCGACCCTGCTACAGGTCACTGTGTGTTTTCATCAGGTGTCCTATTTCAAGGACAAACCTGCCCACAGCTCCCTGGGGCTTGGCTGTCCCAGGGCTGATGCAGCACCCACCCGCCCGGAGCTCGCCCATCAACTGCCATCTCGCCCAAGGGAAGCCTCCGCCTGGGGAACCACAGAGCTGGACCCACCTTTCCGTTGTAAATGTAAAGCCGATGAATGGCAAATGGAGCCCAGAGAAGCCTGTGTGAGAACCAGGAGGTAATATTTCCTGCATGAGAACACATACAACAACATGAAATCCACGTTAGAACAAAGGGAAAGTACATTAGCAACGGGTGAAACTGCGTGCACTAGAGAGAATCACGTGGCCTTCTAGGACACCGAGCCCAGCGTCCCCGCGAGGGGGCACAGCACTGGCAGACTTGTATTTTCAGTCCTGGCTGTGCCCACGATGCAGTTAAGAGAACAAACACACTGCTTCAGAGGATGGTTAATGACCCAGGCCACACTTGGATGGCACCCTGGTGCCACACTCGTCGGCCCTGAGCAGAGGCGAGCTGGCGGGCGCTGGCGCAGCCCCGGGAGGGTTGTGAGGCAGAGGCTGGGGGCTCTCAGGCTCCTGGGAGAAACAGAGGCCAACGGCAGAGGTAGGCTTGGAACCCAAGGTAGATGGGTTTATTTTAGATTTACTTTTGATTAGGTTTATTTATTTTAGATTAATGTGTTACAGACTCTGGTTTTCAGTGTCAGAATCCTTCTTTATTAAACATGAAACCAAAGTTATACTTTATCTGGGAAATGTCATTGTAGAAATAGTTTCTTTGCAGTCTAAGAAAACCCTTTCCACGATGACACTACTTTTCTCTGTCTTTTCTCCAGGAGGTCTACGGTTCAGCTCTTATTTGAGTCAGAGAAATTCCCTAGGGAGTGATCAAGACTTTTCTTCTACTTGGTCAAACCTCACCTCTTCTATCCCCAAAACAAGTCACCTGTATGGATTTAAAAGGCTAGATTTGAGAAGATCAAAATAACCTTAGAGCCTCTGAGCAAAGACAAGACGGTGCCGACTCACGCACCAGAGGCCGTGGGACCAGCCCAGCACCGGACGGCCCCAGAGCCAAGGCCCAATCTGGAGGATCCACGACGTTAGGCGTCAGTGGGAGGACTCAGAAGCCACACACAGTCTTGGTTGCTCCCAAAGCCCGGCCGTGTAAAGAAACACACGTGCAGACACAGAACCGTGACGGCCGGAGCGCTAGGTGCTCATGCGGGGGGACCAGAGTCCCAGGGGCTCCAAGTCCGCCGTGGGGCTGCAGGCCGAGCCCCTCGCCAGCTCAGGGCCTCGAAGTCTGCAAGTGGTGACAGGGCTGAGGTGAAGCTCCAGGACGGTAACATCTCTGACACTGCTGAGTGCCATGAAAATACAGCGTAAGTGTTTCTGGTGAGTCTAAAGGAGAAGAGCCATTTAACTCCATTTTACTCAAGCGGAGTACAGGCGGACCTCGGAAAAATTTTGGGCGTGGTTCCAGACACCACAATAAAGTATCACAACAGAGCGAGTCAAGTGTATTTTTGGTTTCCCAGTGTATGTGAAAGTTTACACTATGCTATAGTCTACTGAGTGTGCAACAGCATTATGTCTGAACAAATAAATTTCGTTAACTTAATTTAAAAACAGAGGGGGCACCTGAGTGGCTCAGCTGGTTAAGCATCCAACTTCAGCTCAGGTCATGATCTCACAGCTCGTGAGCTTGAGCCCCGCATTGGGCTCTGTGACGACAGCTCGGAGCCTGGAGTCTGCTTTGGATTCTGTGTCTCCCTCTCTCTTTGCTCCTCCCCTACTGGTGCTCTGTCTGTGTGTGTGTCTCTCTCTCAAAAATAAATAAACATTAAAACAAGTTAAAAACAAAATAGTTTACTGGGGGGAGGAGGGGAGCACCTGGGTGGCTCAGTCAGTGAAGCATCTGACTCTTGATTTCAGCCCGCGTCATGATCTCACCGTTGTGGGATGGGGTCCTACGCCAGGCTCCACGCAGAGCACGGAGCCTGGGATTCTCTCTCCCCACTCCTCCCCAACTTGTGCACTCACACACACACTCTCTCTCAAAATAAATAAATGAACTTAAACAGAAACATTGCTAAGAGATGCTAACCATCATCTGAGCTTTCAGCAAGTCATAAGCACTGACCACAGATCGCTGCAACAAATGCAGTAATAATGAAAAAGTTTGGAATACTGTGACAATCACCAACACGTGACATGGGAGACGAAGTAAGCAAATAGTGTTGGAAAAATGGCACCAGAAGACTTGCTGGGGGCAGGCTTGCCACGAACCTTTAATCTGTAAAAACCCAGTATCTGCAAAGCACAATGAAAGGAGGTGGCTGTGGTCTCTGTGTTTTAAAGGGGACATTACTACCAAGCTGAAGGCTGGAATAAAAGGTGTATTTTCTGGAAACACAACGCCAGACTTTTAAAAAGAACCAACACGGCTCTAAGATCCTGCTGACAATCCACACCCTCCAACAGACCACTGCTGGCTTCAGACCCACCGGGACGCCACGGGGACGGAGGTGCTTGTTCACACTTACGGTGTTTCTCAGCACGTCGTCGTCCACGTCGAAGTTGGAGGTGTCAGAAGGACTGCTCACATCGGGAATATAAGGTGCTTCCAGGTTTCGTATATTTTCCCAATTCAGACCTTCAAAGAACGCGTGCTTTTTGAAGTCTTCTATCCCATTCTGGCCCAGCCGGCGCTCTCTGCTGCAGATGAGTCTTTGGATGAGGTCTTTGGCTTCTTCAGACACATCCGTGACGTGGGACGGAAACTGAAATCGCTCCTGGGGGGCAAGCGGCCGGTGGACATGAGATGAGAACTTATTCAGAAAAACCCAAGATGTACAGACATTACGGGAGACAGAACAGGGTCAACAGTCCTTTCTAATTTCACGGTAGCTAAATGCAAACCAAAGCTAACGACATCTGATTCTAATGAGAAAATCCTTAGTCGTGCTGGTTACTCGTTACCATGTTACATGTAAATTAACGATAAATTTTCACCCATCAAAGTGGCAAAGGGCGCCGACCACACGCTGTGGCGGAACCGGCTGGCACGGAGCTCTTCCACAGTGCGTCTGCCAGCATCTGGCGCAAGTCTACTCCTAAGATTTTGTTGTACAGAAAAGCGTCGTGCGCTGGACAGAAGGATGACGAAACACCTGGTCGTATGTGACGTGATGCCATTCACTCAGACGCGGCCCCACAAACACACACCCAGCACGGCAGCGGGCCCGAGTGCTGAGGCCCAGGCCCCACCTCTATCATCCAGAAAGAGGGAGGGCAGGAACGCTACTGAAGATCAGACCGGCGGGCGCACAGGAAGCGCCGGACCAGGCCCCACAGGGGCACGTGCTCCTTGCCAGCAGGCTCTTTAGAATCCACGGAGTCCTGTTCGGTACCGTGAAGGCATTTATCGCCAAGACGCGGAGGGGGTGATTTCCGCCGTCTACGCTACGCACTTTTGTGCTGTTTTTCTGGTAAGGCTAAGCTAACTTCCAAGTGAAAACAATCATCTCTATTCTGGGAAAGCGTCTTTAAAAACCATGGCTTGCCCTGATTGGGAGTTACATGGCAGACCACACACCACGTTAGTGTTCACGGGCCCCCAACACGAAGAGTTGCTGGAGGATGGGGCTGAGGACCGGTCAGCAGAGAGAAGCTCACTTGGGGGGTGCGGGTGACAGACTGGGGAAGGAGGCGGTGAGCACACGGCCACAGGGTGGGAGCGGCATGAGGACACATGTGACTAAGGGAAACAGGTGACAAGACAGGAAGCGGAAGAGCAACGGGAAAACGAACAAGAAATGAAGGCGAGGCCGACGGCAGGCAAGGTCAAGGGGGGGAAAGGCACAGCTGGAAAGGGAAAAGGAAGCCGGGTCAAGGAGGTGGAAGAGTGCCACGCACAGGCGCCTGGCCTGGTCCGGACACGTAATCTCCGGGAAGCGGACTCGAGAAGAGCAGCTGTGGTCACACTGATGAATCCAGACCCACAGGTGGAAGGGCCCAACGGCCCCCGCCACCCGCCATCCCGAGGCCACACCCGGCACAGCCCCGCGGAGGCCCGCCTCTCCGGGGCCCTGCCCCGAACACCGCCCCTCCGGCTCGACGCTCGCTCTCTCCCCCCACGCCCACACCTCCCGTGCGGGCAGCTTGTGCCAACTCCACCCGCGAATCTCCGCTCCTGTCCGGAGGCCAGCAGCCTGCTCCAACCCTATCGTCTCCTCCCCAAAGACGCGGACAGCTTCCCAGCAGCCCTCCCACCTCTGGGCCCCTGCCTCGGGACTCAAACAAACAGGACGTGGAGATGAGACATCTTACTTCGTGGTTCATGATCTTTCCGTAGGTCTCCACGAGGGACTCTGCGTAGAAGGGCGTCTCTCCATACAGCATCTCGTACATGCAGACGCCCAGAGACCACCAGTCACACTCGGGGCCGTACTTGCCCATGCCGTCCTCCATGGCCTGCAGGATCTCCGGCGAGATGTAGTCAGGAGTGCCCACGGCCACAGAGGACTGGACCTTGAAGGAGAGGGGGTGTTGGAGGGAAATCCTGGGGCAGCTCCGATTCCAAATTCCCAAATACTCCCTCTAAAACACTGATAGCAAATGATGAAATAATCGTGGAATAAAACTAGCACACGAGCATGATTTGAAACCCTAGTAATTCAGGGGCGCCTGGGTGGCGCAGTCGGTTAAGCGTCCGACTTCAGCCAGGTCACGATCTCGCGGTCCGGGAGTTCGAGCCCCGTGTCAGGCTCTGGGCTGATGGCTCAGAGCCTGGAGCCTGTTTCCCATTCTGTGTCTCCCTCTCTCTCTGCCCCTCCCCCGTTCATGCTCTGTCTCTCTCTGTCCCAAAAATAAATAAACGTTGAAAAAAAAATTTTTTTTTAAATAAAAAAAAAAAAAAGAAACCCTAGTAATTCAAAATTCACTGCAAATGAATGAATGCTCTCCTGCAGCAATAAACGTGGGGCAGTTTCCAGAACGTGTGAGATGGCCTCGCATGCCTGGTCTCTCCTTGGCCACATGCCCAGCACAGCCCCCAGTGGTCCCTCAAGGGGTGGCATTTCCCACATCCTCTGTCACTGCCCAAAGTGCGGTCCAGAAACCATGTGTGTTCAGGCCAACCCTTCGCAAACTTCCGTGTGCATACAGGCCACCCGGGCTCTTGTGAAACAGAAATTCTAGGGTGGGGCCCAAGACACTGAATGTCTGTTTCCACAGACGCTAAGGCTGCTCCCCCAGGGCCTACCCTTCCATCTCCCAAGTGGGAACATCTGGAAATAGTCCAGGCACTGGCTGGGTACTCAGGAATTCTCCAGACGGGGAACCAGGAGGCTTAGGCCTCTACAAGGGAAAGGACAGTTCCTCAGCCACTGACGTTAGCAGGAACAGGCTTGACGTGGGGCCATCGCTCCAGAAAGCCGTGGCCAGTGAGGGCAGTGAGCGTCATGAGAAAACAAGGGGGCAGCGGGTCAGCTGAGGAACCAGACTGGTCTTGGAGCGCATGGAGAACAAAGTCCATTAGACTGAGGGAGCAACCATAACAGAAGGCCTGGCCCAGGAAGGCCAGACAGACTCTCCCTCAGGTCATGTCTGAGGAGGGGCCAAGGGGTACGAGCAGCACCCGGGTCAGACTGGACGGCGGGGAGGTCGGCCTCCATCATGTGACCAGAGTCACTTCCCCGCTCGGCTGCCTGGCTGCAGGAACCGTACAGTGGACAGTGGGGAGACCGGCGTGAGGTGGCAGCACGGGAAGGGTGAGGGGACGTGTGGGCAGGAAAGGGAACCAACACTTGAGCTCAGTCCGAGACCACCACGCTTGTCGTCGGAAGGCTGGATTTGAGGGCAGCACCAATCTCAACTAAGCAACACGTGGTCAAGACTGGGGAAATAAGAAACTGATTTGGTGGGAAGAGAGTAACCCTAGTATCAAGGATCCCTGTTTCTAGATGGACAACACCCACAGAGAGAAAAGCCCCGGCTGACAGGATGTTACCTGCCCGCACACAGAAATGAGGAGTCGCTAACACAGTCAACGTCTGAGCGCCTGACCGGCCCGCACCAGACGTTTCAAGAAAGGACCGAGGGGGCCTGCGTGTTGCTGCGGCAATGGCGTGCTCAGCCACCTCGCCACGTGAGGAAAGGGACGACCCCCAACTTAGAAGGCACACGTACTACTGATGAGACATGGACATCAAAACCGAGGTTTTCAACTTAATTAGAAAATTTAAACTGTCCCCCAACTGTGAATCTTTTTAATTCACATTCATAAACTTGGTTTCTTAATTGGATCTCAAATTGAAATGTTAAGTCCCTTCTAACTACAAGCAAAACCCAGAACCAAATGAAAAATCTCCAACAGAAATACCTACAGTTCCATCGTCACTCATCTTCAAACAGGATCCAAAGTCGGCCAGGCGGATGTGACCATTCACGTCCAAAAGGACATTGTCAGGTTTAATGTCTCTGTGAGTAAAACAAATCAGTGAGTCAACCATTTCCACGCCACACATTAGGCAGGTCAGAGACTGTCACCAGTGGTGTACCCGCCGAGGAAACGCTAATGCCATTTCAGGACAGTTGTGGCAATCTTGGGAAAATGTCTCCATGGCACTCTACTCGCACATGCGTACGGAGGGGCAGTCACCACCACTACCGCTCACTCCTGTGCATGAGCTAATCCCCAGTCAATCCGATGACACACCATCTTGTTCCCACCGCACAGCTGACCATGCTTCCTGAGTGTCTCCTTGGTGCCCGGTGCTGTGCTTGACCCCAGGTCTATGACAGTAACCAGACCCCACAGCCCCTGCCATCACGAAACTTCCACCAGCTGAGAGGGCAGAAAATGAACGTGCGAACGCACAAACACGCACGTGGTCTCAGTCAGCACCAGGGTATGACGCCCACGATAAGCGCTGGGAAGAAACCAGAAGCGGCAGAAAACGGGGCAAAGGGTGTCTGAGCACAGACGTGATGAGCAAGACCACGGCAGGCCAACAGCCCCCCACGTACCCCACGCTGTATCTGGCGGACAAAGACCCGGGGGCTGAAGACCTAAGCCATCTGTCTAGCTGTCAGCAGCAAGTTCATGGCAGGAAGGTAGGTCCACGGCCGACCTGCTGCTCTGTGGACTTGCAAACGTGGGGCCCCTGGGGAGGCGGACGGCCTTTAAAGCACAAGCTCTCCTTCCTGGTCAAACAAGTTCATGTGACTGGACGGCACAAAAAGGGAACAGACTTCAGGAGGAAAGGCAGATGTTCACCAAGAGGAGCTCAGGTATGTGCTCACACGACAGAACACCACACCTCAGCTACTCCAACATCAGGGACGCATCTCACAAACAAAGGTGAGAAGACGACGACAATTCTTACCCAAAGAAAGATCCACAAAGCAAAAGAAACTAGCGCAGCACCCCAAACCGAAATAAAGAGGAAAAACAAAGCAAACCCTCAATGAGTCAGAAAAATAAAAAATTAAGAACAGAACCAGACAAAAGCAGGAAGAAATGAAGAGATTTAACTCAAGGAAGAAACAGAAGTCAAAATCTTATCAGGAATGGTGACTAAATTATAAGATGCCCATAGAACAAATTCCAGTAAAAATCTAATGAAAGGGCACTGAAGAAAGGGAGGGAAAGATCTAGAGGAATGAAAATAGACGACACATACAAATAACTGGAGTCCCCAAAGAAATTGAAAGAATAAAAGAATAAAACATAATATTTGAATCTACAGTCTGAGAGAACCTTCCAGAAGTTAAAAAAAAAAAAAAAAAAAAAGGGACTGCATTACAGACTGATGGGCCCATCAAATTAAAAATTTTCCCACGTCCTGTTTCTTGGAGCCAACCTGATACTAAAGTTCACATGGATCAATTAATGCGTGAGGACAGCTAGAAAAACCCTGGAGAGAAAGAAAGGGGTCTGATGCGGGAACTAGTCCGACACGGCTTCTGCCTCCAGAATTAAAGCGGTACGGCCCTGGTGCACAGACAGACAGAAAGACGACAGGACAGAACGTCATGGGGAGTGAGTGCGTGATAAAGATGTCATTTCACCTCACTGGGGCAAAGACACACTTCCTAAGTGAGCTGGTCTTGGGACAACAGGAGGGCCTCCTAAAGATAAAATCAGACCCGCTCCAGAACCACAGCGGCCACCCAGCCTGCCCCGGGCTACCTTCGTCAGATCCCTCTGCTTCATCCTGCATCTCTCCCGCGCAGCTTTCTATTTGCTCCAGTTTTTGTTTTCGTTCTCTGGATATTCCTTCTCTTAAAACTGCACCGTTCTGACTTTGTTTCTGAGCTGCACTCTCCGTTCTCTCTGGGGACGTCATGTCCTCGAAGGCAAGTGACTGTCACTCTTCGTTTCTGCCTCTGCTGTGATCTGGGGCTGACCGCTCCGGAAGGGGCTGTACCCGCCTGTGTGCCCTGCTCCCTGGTCCCGGCTGCCCACCGCTTCCCACGCTGCCAAAGCCAGGGAGCACCTGCTCTGCCTGCAGCAGCCCGGCCGGAGGGCGGTGGGCACGGCCCGAGTCCCCACGGCCCACATCCGGCCACAGAAAAGGCCCCACAGCTGTAGCACGGGGTCTGAGTCCTGCTTCTTAAATCCAGCAGGGACACGGCTGCTGTGCTGACGACACACACTCATTTCCGGCCCCGTCGAATGCTGCTGCTTCGACCCACAGCGAACCTACCACCTGCGGCCGGGGCAGGACTGACTTCCTACCAAACCTGGCTTTGTAGCCTTTCTAGCAAAAATGCAAGCTTTCGGTTTTCAGACTGGGTCGTTCAAGTGCTAAGTCTGAATACTGAGTTGACGGGGGAGGGCGGTTAATCACACATTTCATTCTTCTACTATGTCTGGAGATCAAATGACAGAGTGAAGCTTCTACATGGCTAATTAAGAAAATAAGGGAAAAGCTTTTCTAATTAGGGAAAACAGAGAAAGAATAAACCACTGAAAAAGTGGCCAGATTAATTTCCCTGGAGATCGGTGACAGATACAAAGACATTTAGCTCTGGTATGAATTAGTCAAATTTCTGTCAGAATATAAAATCGAATGTTGAAAACAACTATAGTAACTGTTAGAAAAGCAAGCACAGCAACATTAAAGAATCCACGAAAAAAGAGAAAATGCCCTGAAAGAAGTGAAGGTTCTTTGGGAGCCGCGCCCTCTGCTTACTCTGTGATACCTGGACCCACAGGGCAGTGCCCTGGGCAGGGGCACGTGGCCCCCGCGCCTCAGTTTCCCCACTGAGCAGTGAGGTACGACTCAAGGCGAGACCTGAAGGGCTGTTCTTGTGACACCCCGTGCCGTGGCCACCCTTGCAGCAGGAGCTGTGTCTGCTCAGGAAAACCTCCTGACGGGCAGCAGAGGCCGGGCCCTGGGCGAGGCGGCAGCGGGGCCCGATGTGACGCCAGGGGGATCGCGGTGGCCGTGAGCCTCCCAACGGAGGACGGTAATGCCCTCACAGTCCCGAGGAAGGTGATTTCCAATCTAAAATTCTTACTAGATCATCCCTCAGTCACACATGTGGATGGAATTAAGACACTGATCTCAAAAACATGATCTCACAAGGCACCTTGATCCAGAAACTACAGACAATCCATGCTACCAAATCAAAAGAATAGACCGAGAAAGGAAGATGTGTCACTTGGACAGCAAGGGATCCAATCCGGGGAGACGGGACGGGAGCGTCTCCGGGGAAAGAACTCTCAGGATGCTGGCAGAGGCACCCAGGGCAGAAGGGAGCGGGAAAGGAGGAGCAGCGGTTCCAAGAAAAATCAGACCTATGCTACCCGACACGCCTGTGTGCGCAGAGCTTGGCAATTCAGCACAGGGGATGACTAGCCGGTTTGGGGCAACCAGTGACGGCTGCCACGGAAAAGCCCGCAAGTGAAGACTCAGGACCATTGCCACCCCCAGAGGAAACGACTTATGGAAGTGGAAATGCGGGAACCGCCAGGCTCATCGGTCACACTCACACAGGTGTTCCACGATGAACCTGACAGGGATTTAACCAACAGTTATCGCTCAGGAACTGGGACGCTGTGGGAGGGGGGTCTGAGAGTGTGTGTGGGAGAGGGCTGAGGGAGAGAGCTACTTCTGGAAAGAGTAAACTGCATCTTAACAGATGTGATCTGACTCTCCCTCCTCTGCAAAAAAGAAAATGGTGAGAGAAGCTGGTTAGTTAGGAATATGAGGCAAATGCCGCAAGAAACAGTGTAAAAAGCCGACGAGCTACCTGCGGCCAGTGGAATCGGGCAGGGCAGGAGACGCGTGCTTTCTCTTAAGCCCTGTAGCGCTACCTGACTTGAAAAAACCGTTACCATGAACATATTTGATAACAACTATTAAAATAAACAGCCAACCCCCACAGGACGAACTCGCTGTCTTAAGCAGCAGAAAGACACAGAGGTGGCGCCCGCGCAGGACGCAGGGTGGGCCCTCAGCGCGCCCGGGAGGGCGGGAGGCACACGGCCACACAGAACCAGTTATTCTCGCTCGAGGTGCTGTGCTGAGCCCCTCTCCCCAACCCAGTCCTCCTCTGTGAGTGCCATGATGGGGGCCGTGCACCAGGGAAGGTGTTGTGGCTGAGACAGCAGACGGTGAGGGAACCCGTGAACTAGGGGGCGGGCACCCCAGGGAGGAGGGATCAGCAGCGGGGAGGATGAGCTGAGGTCAGCAAAACATCTAAAGACAAGGCAGCTCTGGGGGACCCGCGCTGGAGCATCCTCATCGTCACAGTAACGCTGGGACCTGCTGGTGCCAGGCGCTGGGGCGGCCCAGGGTCTGCGAACCGCGTGGCCTCTCTGGACGGCCTGGAGCCTTCGACAGAGTCTCGGGGCCCCGAAAGGGCATCTTCACGTATTCAATGCCGTTCCCATAAAACACAAAAGGTGCGTACCTGTGCACGTAGTGAAGCTGATGGATGGAATCGATGGCCAACACCATTTCACCGATGTAGAATCTTGCCATATCTTCTGGAAGCTTGTCTTCGAATTTACTGAGCAGGGTCAGTAAATCACCACCCACGTAGTAATCCATGACTAAGTACTACAGGTGGGAAGAGGTGGGAGAGAACAGAATATTCGGTCAGCGCGAGGCCTGACAACGGAAGGCCGAAGTTCTACCACGGAAGTCCTCTGGCTCTTCCAGTCTGGAGCGCTGGCTTCCGAGCTGCTCCTGTGTCATCCAGGATTTCCCCACCCAGTATCTTCCTGCACCATATATGTCGTACTTTCAGTTAGGCATCTGACGGAGAACGAATTTCAGGAACAACAGCGCGGAGGATGGGGGCCGAGAGCAGGGCAGGAGAGGGGCTGGGAGGCCAGGACGTGGTCCCGGAAGGAGAGGAGGGTGACAGGCACCGGGGAGTACTATGCGGAGGCAGAGGCCAGACCACAGGCTGGCGGGCGTGTGGGGCGGAGGGAGAAGTTCTCCGGCCCCTAAGAAAGCGGTAGGAGTAAGTCAAGCACCCATCTAGCCGAGTCTCAACGGTTTCCATGCTGGCCTAGAATTCTAAACAGAAAAATGAAAATGCTTTACAGCAGCACTGAACACGATCGACAGGCTCCTGGAGACCTGTAAGGAATCCGTAAGAAAGTAAACTAAGGGGCCATAAGGCAGAAACTTACTTTTAGAGTAAGAACCAGACCAATTATTTCCTCTGTCATGAAACACAGGGATTCTAAGTCAACAAGGCAACACCCTTCTAGTCACTGGAGAAACAGGTTTAATTTTTAGGACACGCCAAGTTTAGATGCCTCCAACAGAAGGAACAACGAGAATGGCTTCTGCGGGGCAGCCCAATGACTCCACACGAGGAAGGAGGCCTGACCCGGCCTGCCCCGCTCTCCAGGCCTGCTTCTCCACCACCCCACAAAGGCAGAAACTGCCGGGGTCCCAGAGAGAAGGAACCTGCCCGACAGCACCACTCAGGGGTGGCAGAGACAGCAGCCAGCCACGGGTCTGCGAACCCCAGTACCAGGGCCCAGGTTCACACACTAGAAAGCCCGGAGCCCCTGCCTTCCTTCTTGATTTTCACTGTACCTCTATTTGTGCAACTCCAAACACTCAAGAAGATGCCTTCTTGGCTGCGATTGCTAACTGACCATCTTCTATCAGACATTTCAGACTGCAAGACACTACGCTGACTTCAGGAAAGATTAAACAAAATATGTTGTTTTCCTTCTGTACAGATCTGCGCCTGAACTCCTCGGAAATGGACCCGAGATGGTCGCCTCTGAGCGGGGGTGATGTGCACTCGGCGGTCTGCTGGGGAAGGGCCCTGAGCACCACCTCCCGTCACACGCTCGGACAAGTGGCTACGTCCCCTCCCGCTCCAGATGCCCCATTTAAAACGTGGTGACAACCTTCAGGGCCTAAGGCACGGGGTCCCTGGGGAGACGGAGCTAACCCACGCGCCCCTGCTTGATAAACATAACGGTCCCTCTGTAGACATAAACATATATGTTGTAAATTCTAAATAAACAGTGTAACAAACCATGTTACCTAATTCTGGACATTCAAAACTGACGGATGTCTTTGACGTGGGAAAGAGACGGTTGTAAGATGAATAAAAGAGACCCTATGTCCCTCTTGCTGTAGGAATGGAGCACAGAAGTGTGGGTGAGCTCAGGGAGATCGAGCTCAGGTCCCTGGCCCGAGGCTGTGCAGACCTTCAAAGCCCCTGCGGCCACCGCTGGGGCTGCGCAGGCAGGAGGAGCCGGGCAGAGACCAGCTTCTCCAAGGACGGTGCTTGCCCTGCACACCCAGAGCTCCACGTGAGGACCTTTTTAGGTTTAGGCAAACCTTCGGTCACACGGTCACTCTGGAATTAAGAGCAGCTGAGGGCAAAGGTTTGGCTTCTTTTCCCTTGTGAGCCGCTGTTTTGTGTCTGTTTTACAGGTGTCTACGCTCACCTCGGGGCACACGTGTCAATCGCACAGCGGACTGACTGGTCAAGACTGAAAGCCCCCACTTAGGTCAGAAGAAACAGATAACAAGAGTCCCCCCAAAACCCACGTCAGAAGACCTCAGCGAGCCCAGCTCGTTCGGGGAGGACTGCACACCAGCAGTGTCCTCGGACAGCGTCAGGCATCGTGGGTGACACGATCACCCACTCAGCGCCAAAGGCTGAGCCACTGTGGGTCCTCGCGGCCCTCTCTCTTCAAACATAATCCAAGATGGAAAATGTCTTGAAGCCCCAGTTTATTTAAATGTAATAAACCCGGGGAACAAAACTAATCAGGTTATCTCGTGATGAGAATTGTCTGCCTTTAAAAAACCCCACCCAGTTACTACCTTAAACCCACCCCTTCGTTCTCTCCGAGCACATATACACACTGTCAATTCCAAACCGCCTTGTTTTCTTTTTTTAGTAGCAGCACAAAGGAATCAACCAATTTCACCCACATGCCGTTTGACAGACTCCTGAAGCGCCTGAGACCCAGACGTACCAGGTAGTTTTCGTCCTGGAAGGCGTAGTGCAGAGCAGTGATCCACTGGCAGTCGCCGTTCACCAGCACGTCGCGCTCTTCTCGGAAACAAGCAGTCTGTAAAGAATCAGGGGGAGAGGCGGTCTGGGCCTGTCCAAGGAGTACGGTCCTGAGCAGAGGGGTCCCTGCCGTGACAGGCTCTGGAGACGCGTCGCCTGCCTCCCAGGCTGCAGGAAGCTCGGCCTCCCTCACTCACCTGGAACCACACGCATCCTCGCCTCCCCCAGGCCTTTCCTGCACCAAGGCGTCGGAGAGCTCACTTCCTCGGGCCGGGCCCGGCCCGGCCCCTGCCCCTTCCACACACGCCACCTCTGCAGCCGACAAAGGAGAGTCGGCCCGTCTCACAGGTGGATCTCAGCAACACTCTCCTGGGTGGGCCGCTCCCACCCAGCACTGCCCGACCTCTCTGGACCAGACCGGCTTCCTCTCGATAGCCTGGGACGTGGCCGCCCCGCGTCTGCCCCTCGCTGTCACACACCTACAGTTTAGCAGCCACACGGCTGGCAGGAAAGGGCACACACCTGCTTACTGAGCTGAGCGCTGGAAAGTGATTTAATCACGGTAACTGGTGCCACGGTCATAACAGGATTCTGTGAAGAAGTATGGTCTGCAGCATATAGGTAAAAGGCTGTCTTTTAGGCTGTTACGGTTTATTTTTTTTTTTTAAGAGCTTTATTACACAGGTGGTACCTAGATTTAAAAGTGACCAGGTATTTTGGCATAATCATAATAAAACTTTCTCTTTGTTGATCACCTAAGATTTTAACTCCCTCTAGATCTGAAACTTGCGAAGCTTAACAAAAATGACAGTGGCACTGATGGGAGCCCTTGGTCCACAAGGCACCGGGGAGTCCTACCTGCTCTCTCATGAGACTCACAGTGACCTCTGGAACTTGTTTTGTCCTATGAGCTTTCTATTCTAAACTTATTTAAAAAATTTTTTATTTCCAAAAAAAAAAAAAATGACTGAAGTAGATGTGCCCCAATTCTACTAATTAAAAGCAGATAAAACAACTCAAATGGACCAGCAATCAGCTTATGATGTCCAAATGTGCAGAGACCAATGCTATGCCCCCCAGCCCGCGGCCCCCCAGCCCACAGGGCCTGGCGCAGGGCAGCTGCAAGGAAGCCCCAGGGCCGGGGCTCCACGTTCTCAAGGGTCGACCCATCCACATTTAGAATAAAAGCCATTCTTAAACTCAGGGTCACCAGCATGATGACCCACAGACAGGAAATATATGTATTATTCAGCAGTTTTGTTTTGAGAACTTTCAGTACTTTTTTAATGAGCAAAACAGATGAGCTAGAAAGCACAGCACGACCCACAAAGTTATGAATTCACAGTTTAGCGACTTTTCCACTGCCCCCTCTTGGTGACGTCATGCTTTCAAAGATTTAGTGTTCACAGTAAACTAATTTATTAGGAATAAAATGATAAATTACTTTAACCATTTTATATCAATATTATTATGTTTTTATGTGTATCACACACACGTATATCCCATGACATGTACCCTGGGATAATCGTAATAATTAGCAGACATCCTTGGACTTTTCTAACTATGCCAATTAGGTAGGATCTCTGTAACCAGATTTAAATTTCATAATTTCAGAATGTATTCACCATGACATTTGGGTAAATACTAACTAGTTATAAGGTGCGAATCACCTCTCCCCAACCTTGGGACTTTTAAACACACACACACACACACACACACACACACACACACACCCGGTCTGGAGGCTGACGCTGAACAACCAATCACTCCTCTAAAAATATAAACTTAAATGAATTTGCTACTAGCCTTTATTTCCCTGCTTATTCCTCCCCCAAACTCTTATGCACCACCAGCTACCCTGTTCCCACGGAAGAGTCACTCCAGCGATTTCCCTTGACCCCCAGAGCGCTGACGGTGCCATGAAGGGCTGCTGGGGCCGAGGCACGGCCACCGCGGTACCGCCTGAGGCAGAGTCCCCAGGCCCAGGTGACCACAAACACAGCGATGCTTCAGTTAACCAGCCTGCATTCATTTGGCAGAGGCCCGGTGCTGGGCACCACGGTGGGAAGGAGGAGGGTAGGGACGGGGAAGGAGAACAGGCCGTGATGGACAGGTAGGACGCACTGAGGATACTGAGTGAGAACGCCCACCCACCAAGCTGACGACAACCTGAGCTCAGGGGAGGGATCTGACCAGAACAGACGTTTGTACTGGTATCTGCCCAAGTGGCATCATCATCCCAGGGAAGAGCTACCGAGCACAGGAAGGGCCACCTAAAATTACAAGAAAGGTTCAGAGTGACACGACAAGAGAGGCCAGAAACCAGAGAAGCAGTTTCCGGAGGAGGAGGTGGCTAATCCCAGGGGCGCTCAGTCCCGGGTGAGCTTGCTTCACAGCTGGGGCAGCAGAGGTGGCGCTGAGGGCGTTCAGCCTAGGGGAGCCCAGCGAGAGGACACAGGGTAAGTGACAGAGCTTTGGAAAGGAAGGATGCTTGGCTCCCTGATGCAAAGTGGAGGACCACAGAGGATGGGGGGTGAAGGAAGACCGGGGGTGAGTCTGGTAGGACCAGAGGAAGAGCTCGGGCTGGCCCAGCAGCCTCACCGACTCCATCGGGGGCCGGAGCGGCCAGGGTCGGGACCGTGAAACAGGCCTCAGAGGGAGGGACACCAAAGTAAGGAAAAGCGCATCTAGACCTGCCAAGCAGTGACCACCTACTTCTGCTTACGATCTCCGTCCTCCCTCTGGGAGGGCATATGCAGACATCTCTGTGCTTACGCAGGCTCCAGATCCAGTAATGCCTGGTGCACGGGAAGCAGAGCTGAGATAAATGCCCAGAGTTCCCGCAAAGGTTTTGATTGGTCCTCACATAAGTGAGCAGCCCTTGGCCGGCCGGGGGGGGGGGGGGGGGGGGGGGGCGGGGCGGGCGGGGGCAGAGAGGAGAGAGGAGTGAGCAGGAGAGCGCAGAGAGGCGTGCGCACCGGGAGGGGCGGAGACGGTGGCGACAAGACACAGGTCACTCTTGTCAAGGAGGGAGGGGGGAGGCCCAGCTCTGCGAGGACTGTGGTGGGGACCCAGCACATGCCCCTTACAACCCCCTTCTCCTGTTACTCTTTACTACTCCACGCTTACCTCTGCTCTTTTAAGCATTTCCCACTTGTTGAGGATTTTCATCGCATAAATTCGCTCAGTGTTCTTCATTTTGACAACAGCAACCTGGAACACAAACAGGAGTTTAACAAAAACGTAGCTGAAGGAACCAAAGCCAGCACACGTTGTCACGTAACTACAGTGACATCTCAAGTGCCCGGAGAAATGAAACCCTGGAAAACGAGCTGCTGGGGAGACACAAGTTCTTCACGTAAATGCAGATCCGTCCTGCTAAGCATCGAACCTTGCCATTTGCCACACCACAACGTGCATATCCCTGCTCAGTTCCAAAAACTTCCGTGGTGGGCGGTGGGCGCACAGTGGGGCTGGCCGCCCTGGGCGAGCCTGGGACACGTGCCTGGGACTTTCACCATAAAAACTTTAAAAATCCACTCGCTGCTCCCAACCTTTCCTCCCCGTGTTCAAGGGTTCCGTCCCCACGCTCCTGCCACCTGCCCCACTGGTGCTACGTCTACCTCTTCCTCCCACCGCCGGCCTTGACATGCCAGCTCTTGCCTCTGCGATCTGTTCTCAAGGGGCACTGAGTGCCGGCGTGGGCTCTGGAGTGGGACTTGGGCAAATCCTCTTCTTTGTGCCTCGGTTTCTACAACTAGAAAAGGGGTAACAGCAGTACTGGCCCCAGATTGCTATGAGGACAAACCAGCGAATACACCTAAATGCACTTCGAACGGGGTTAGGCATATAGTGGGCACTCGGCATGTTGGCTGGCAGGCAAGGTCTTCAAGGTACAATTCAAATGCCACCTCTTGCAGGAAGTCCTACTGGATTTCCCAGTCCCTGCCAAATCTCAGACGCGCTCTGACATCACTTACCAATACCAGACGTGATGCCTGTGCCAGCATACGGCACATTCTACCCTGCAAAAATCATTCACTGGCCTAAGTCCCCATCACAAAACCATAAGCTACTTACGTATGGCTGTCCCTTTCTGCTGCCAATGGCAGACAGCCACACGGCAGGCATAAACAATTATTTACTTCCTTGCTTTCTAAACGATGCATGTCACACAGTAACATCGTCAAAGTAACCACACAAGCTAACATGCACCAGGCACTTTCCCCGTGCCAGGAACTCTGCTCACTAATTGACCTGCACCCTCTCAGGTAACCCTCACCACAGTCCTCGACGGTGGCTATTTTTATATCCATATTTTATAGATATGGAACCTGAGGCTGAGAGGTTTAAATAATATGCTAACAAGTAGCAGAGTCTCACCCTCAAGTGCATGCACGTTAAGGATTATAAAGACAGTTATGATTAAATATTATCTTCCCTGGGCCTGACGATAGGGCGGGGGGTCCACAAAGAACATGCCTTGATGGAACCCCAGAGTCTGGTGAGGGTCAAAGGCCCCTCCCACAGCACACAGCTTCCCGCAGCCCACCATGTGGAAGTCGTCCTCCAGTCACCTCCTTCGGTCATCTCTCTCACTGCCACCCCAGTGCTCGCGGTGGTGGCTCTTCTCGTCACACCTGTTTAAGCTGCCGTTTACTAGCTGTCGTCTTAGAACCACTAACCAAGCTCGCTCCGATTCTGAATAAAGAACAAAGAATGCCGAACAAAGGTTCGGTGAGTTCTCCCACGTGTCCCAGAACATGCAATCTGGGCACACGTGATGTCATCACATTAGAAGTGTCGATTTCTTCCTAGAAATCAGCTACAATCAATAGGTGAAATGTTAGTGTTAAAAACAAAATCTACCATAATGTAATCCCTATCAAAATATCAACGGCATTTTTCACAGAATTAGAACAAATAATCCTAAAATTTGTATGGACCCACAAAGGCCCCAAAGAGTCAAAACAATCTTGAGAAAGAACAAAGCTGGAGGTATCACGTGCCCGGATTTCACACTACTACAAGGCTGTAGTGATCAAAACAGTACGGTGCTGGCACAAAAACAGACACACAGATCAATTAATGGACAAAGGAGGCAGGAATATACAATGGGAAAAGACCATCTCTTCAACAGTTCTCAGAAAACTGGACAGCTACATGCAAAAGAATGAAACGGAACCATTGTCTTACAGCATGCAAAAACAAAAACAAAAACAAAAAAGAACCCTCAAAGTGGATTAAAGATTTAGATAAAATATAACACCTGAAACCGTAAAAATCCTACAAGAAAACACAGGCAGTAACCTCTTGGACGTCGGTCTTAGCAATACTTTTCTGGATCTCTCTCCAAGGAAAGCAAAAGCAAAAATAAGCTACTGGGACATCAAACTAAAGAGCTTCTGCACATGAGTGGAGACCATCAACAAACAAAAGGTAACCTATGGAACGGGAGAAGGTATTTGCAAAAGATATATCCCATAAGGGATTATATCGAGAATAGGTAATGAACACACACAACTCAGTATCAAAAAAGCAAATGATCCAATTTTAAAAATAGGCGGAAAACTTAAGCAGACATTTCTCCAAAGAAGACATACAGATGGTCAACAAGACACATGAAAAGATGCTCCACATCACTTATCATCAGGGAAATGCAAATCAAAACCACAAGGTATCACACCTCCTACCTGTCAGAATGCCATTATCAAGAAGACAAAAAAAAAAAATAAGTGTCTGCAAGGATCTGGAGAAAAGACTCGTGCACTATGGTGGGAATACAAATTGATGCAGCCACTGTGGAAAACAGTATGGAGGTTCCTCAAAAAGTCTGAAATATAACTACCTCTGATCTGGCAATTTCACTTCTGGGTATTTATCCAAAGAAAACAAAAGCACCAACTCAAAAAGACAGATGCATCCCTACGTTTACTGCAGCATTATTTACAATGGCCAAGATGTGGCAATAACCTACGTGTCCACTGCCTGATGAATGGATAAAGAAGATGTCATATATACCTACAATGGAATACTACGCAGCCGCAAAAAGGAAGAGATCTCACCATCTGCAATAACATGGATAGATCTAGAAGGTATAATGCTATGTGAAGTAAGTTCAGACAAAGACCAATACCAAATGATTTCCCTTTTATGTAGAATCTGAAAAACAAAACAACAGAAGCAGACTCATCGATGCAGAGAACAATCTGGTGGTTACCAGAGGGGTGAAATAGGGGAGAAAAGGCTACTTAGTATTTACTACAGAAATGGCCTCACTTGGAAGAAACGGTAGAGCTGATAACTTTTGAACAATCCAGATCTTGCTGAAAATGAGACACAGAGCACTCTGATCTCTTACTAGACGCTTACTTCTTTAGAAGAGGCCTGTCTGGGCACAGGCCATGTCCAGAAAATATGCCAGTGCCTTTGATAAAATACCCAGAAGGAAAAAGAATACATCTGTCCACAGAAAAACAACTGTCAAACCAAGAACACGTAGAAGTGAAATGCAGGAGTAAAATTTAATGTAAAAACAAAAACCCCTGTATATTGAACAAGCTTTCTCTAATTGCACAACTTATAAAATAAACAATCTGTAAAAATCTTGTTTAGTTTACCGGAAACAACTTCTTGGCCCAAAACTCAGTCTTAATTGCATCAAAGAGAGCTGATGCTACAAGCATCTCCAAAATGAGACGTTTCCGTAAAGAAAACCAACAGAAGTGATCTTACACAACATTAACAACTGATCTGGGGACATGACAACACAGTGGGACACCTGATGCCAGCCCCGATCCAGTACTGGAGGAACCGAAACAAACCGCCACGAAGAACATCGCTGGGCCAACTGAGAAACCTGGTGGAAGACAGTAGATGAGGTGCAGGGTTGCAAGAACACCCCGGGGAGGCAATGGCAGTGACGCCACCATTACCAGACAGTGGCAGTGACCTTAGCCACAGAATCCAAGATTCTTTCTGTGGCGGGGGAGGACTGGCGAGCACGTGCAGGGAACCCAGACGGGTCGCAGGATGGCCGGGTGGCCGGAGGAGCCCGATGGCGATCCGAGCCCAGGCCATGGGGCCCCGGGGTGGGGGAGGGACTTACACAGGAGGCCGAGAAAGCCTGGAGAGGGAGCAAAGGTAGGGGAGAGAACCCAAGGACTTTCGGGAAGGCCTGGGCAAGGACGGATTTCCTGAGTTTGGGAGGAACTTAAAAGGTGACACAGGCCCCTTCTCTGAAGCTCAGAAATCCGAGCCGTGCAGTTAAGTTCTTTGCAAAGAAGAGCAGTGAAAATCACCGGAGCCTATTGTGGCACAACACCGTTGTCTCCCCCTCTTCTGGAGAGCGACCCTCCCCTGCCCCGCGGCACCCCTGCGCCTCCCCAACCCGGTGCTAGGGGTGCGGCGTCCCCGCAGATCCCCGCGAGGGCCCGGGCCCGGTCCTGCTGCCAGGGAGACAGTCGGCAAAAGTACATGCTGCACTGAATCGGGTTTCAATTTTGAAAGGTCTCTTTCTCCTCACTAAACAACAAAACCAGACCTGGACACGGGAGGAAACGTACGCCTTGCACACAAGTCCCGAGTATTCTGGAGCACCTTCTCGTCACGGCAGGTCAGGTCACTGTCAGGCAGAGCACGCGTGACGGGACAGGGCGGGTCACCGCTGGGCCCCACACGTGACGCCCCAGCAGCAGAGCTAAGGGGAAAGCTTAAGCGGAGGGGTCAGCGCATCCAGAAGCTTAGGAGGCTCGGCTCTTCGGTACTAAGCGTACACCCACCGATCCCAGTCTGTGGGGGGAGCCGCGGCTGGAGCCTCGGCGGGGGCACGATGCCCGCTGCACACGCGGAGCCTGGACGGGCCGCCCCCTGCAGAGGCCGGGCCGGGGGTGGGATGAGGCCGCGCAGGCCGGGCCCAGGCACAGCTCGAGCACCGACGGCGGGCAGGCTGCTGGTGACGGGCGCGGCCGCTGTGGCCTCCCCGCATTCTGCAGAAGGTGACTGCCGGGATGTTTTCAATTAACAAGTAGACTTTTAATAAACTTCTTTGTCTCAAAGAGACAATTTTGGTCCAGACAATATTCAGGGTAACTCACCGGCCACCAGCTTTTGCTTTGATTTTTCTCCTCTTAATTGTACCCCGCAGGTTCCGCCCACCAAGAACTACTCTCCAAGTGACAGTGACAACGACCCGTCCCCCAGATCGATGCACAGGGTCCTACAGACGCCTGGTGGCGGCGGCTGCTCTCCCGTTCTAGGCAAAATGAGCAAAACAGAAGTTCATCTTACCTCACCGAAAGCACCTCTTCCGATTACTTTAATTATTTCGAAGTCTTCTCGATGAAGCTGCATCTCCTTGACCAGCTGTGTAAACGGCTTAGCTATAAATTCAAAAAAAGGAAATCAACAATTTACTCTAGTAAGTCGGTACTACGTAAAAATTCAACAACCTGACTGGGGCATTCCACTACATGACACAGCTTTTCCAGGAAACAAAGGTTTACTTTTTAAAATGCTTGGTATCTGACAGGTGTTGGCAAGTCTGTGTCTGCGCTCAACGAACTACGCAGATGTTCATCCTTAGCCCCTGTCCTTCAGCATCTGCTGTGACAGATGCTGCCACACAGAGGTCCGCTGCCGCTGGTCATGAACACAAGCAGCAGGTACACTGGAGGTGAGTAGGCTCCGTGGAGCCACAGGGTAGCCCGGGGTGGGGTGGGGGGAACACGAGACAAAATTCTTGCAGAACGGCGGCCATCTCTGAAGTGCAGGCGGTGCTCCCGGACATCATAACCATCCTTGCTAATCACGTGGGGACTCTAGCAGTGACCTCGGTAAGAAACGGGCAGAAGCACTTTACACGGCACTCACGTGTTCCATGCACGCATGCACAGGTAACAGAATAATCATCCTTTTATTATCCACGTTGTAGGGAGGAGAAAACTGAGCCAGGTTTCTGTGGACAGCGTGCTGGGCTGAATAGGGTCTCCTCCCCCCTCCCCAAATCAGTAGTGTCCACCCAGAATCTGTGACTGTGGCCTTATTTGGAAGTGGGGTCTTTCCAAATGTAGTCAAGTTGAGGTCACAAACACGAACGAGATGGGGCCTAAACAGAAAAGGACTGGTGTCCTTATTAAGAGAAGGGAATCTGGACACAGAAGGGAAACAGCCCCGGGAAGATGGGAGGCAGGGACTGGAGTGATGCAGTCATAAGCCACGGGACACCAACTACGCCAGAGGCTGGAAGAGACAGGGGTCCTCCCGGGGGCCTCTGGAGGGAGCACAGCCCTGCTCACACCTTGACTTTGGACTTGGCTTCCCCAACTGTGAGAGGAAAATATCTGTGGTCTTAAGCCCCCCAGTTTATGGTAATTTGTTACCGCGGCCCAGGAAACCTTTCCAGAGACCGCGGGTAATTTCGTTCCAGGAGCGGAGCGAGAGGCAGCACCAGGACAGAAGTCCCGCGGTTCGGCTCCAGGGACCGTGCACTCCTGACCGCCACGCGTCACATCTCTTACAGCCGTTCTCATTTTCACCTCCAGGCCTAAATCCACGTTTTACACTGACCTTCACACAGTTCTCTTTCAAATTCCCCACTACTAGTTTTGCAAAACGTTTCCATTGGGCAAAATGTACAAGGCTCTGTGTTATTTCTCGCAACTACACGTGCATCTGCAATCGTCTCCAAAAACAGCCAACAGCCTGCAGCCAAAACCTGCAATCGGACGTTTTCCGGATTTCTAACTGAGCTCCATATTATTAACGGAATTCTGCAGTTTTTCTCCTTAAATAGCTGCTTAATAAATACCATTAAGGTTTGGTCACCATGGTTCAGTGATCACGGCAACAACAGCCAGAGCACCACGAGGTTCTTGGTGCCTAAGGACAGTGAATTGTTACCACTATCAGTGCAAATGCCCATCAGCACAGAGATCAGGAAATAGGACACATGGGGACTGATTTAAAAAAAAAAAACAAAAAACAAAAGGCCAGGCTAAAGAAAACCCTTGGGCTAGAACTTGAAAGGTTATCTATGGCTTTTTAGTTCTTTCACATATCACCCCCAAACAACCATTCCCAAAACTCCAAATAGATATCTGTACTTCAAACAGCCACCAAAAACCTCAACCTCTCCTGGTACCTTCTAGGGGAACCACATGGTACCGTTCATTGTACAATGAAAAAAAAACGATCCCAGCAAATCTCATCTGTTGTATTTTACCACCAGAAGGGAGAGCGTAGGAGAGGAAAGAGAGCTGACCCGCTACGAACAAACTGTGGCACAGAGCACACTCGAGTGCACACCGCAGAGATGCTCGCTCTGGCAGGGGCATAATGCAACATTCTGGACTATTCCACAAAACCCCAAGACTCACGAGAGGTGGCAGTCACTGTTTTCAATGTACAACCCAAACACATATTCATGAAAATCAAAGAGAATCCTACCCGTAATGAGCCACTTTTAATTTGCCCGTGACCCCGTGCCACTCTTGCTCGTAGGCATATTCCATGTTTCATATCGTCTGTATTCTTTTACTTTTTAGATGTCTCATGTTTCTGTACCACTCAATTATCATTTTAACAGATGCATGCTATTTCACTAAGTTGGTGCACCAACAATTGTAAATCATGTGTCTACTGAACAGACAGGTTAAACTTTTAATTTTGAAAATCAGTACCTTCTTTATGGTGAATAAATCTGCAATGAACCTTTGCATGCACAGAAGCTTTTTTACTATTTTAAAGTAATTTTAGGATGAAATTCCAGGATTCTCCAAAAGGCACTAACTTTTTTTGTGGTTCCTAATCTGTCACCACACCCCGCCCCCCAACACCATACACGGATGGTTCACCTGCCTTTGAACGGACAGTTCTCTGAGGCCTGGCGAGTCTACTCGTAAGCCCTACGGGGAGGACTACCCACTCATCACAATTGCTCACCGATCACGTCTTAATCTTGTTTAACCTACTGCATAAGTGCTTTACTCTGACTTTGTGAAACATGCTACCTGTAAACGCCACGCCTCCGCTCGGTTCCTGCTTTTCATCTCAATTACGCTGTTTTTACTTTACAGAAATTACTTTTCATAAAAATATTTTCAACAAAACTGAACTGATTCATTTTTTTCCTTCGTCATTTCACTATTAGAGCCTACAAAGTTATCCACTCTTTAAAGATCTAACCTTCAATCCTACTTTCTGCTAAACAGCTTTTAAAAATAGATAACCCATTATTCGTCTGCCGTTGACAACATGCAGTGTTTGTCGTAACTTCCAGCTGTAACCATCTCTACGCGTTGGCGTGGCCTGACGGTGCAGGGGGGTCGGGGGCGAGCGGCCCAGCGCCCATTCTGGAGCTTCAGCTCCTCCGTGTACCACCTGGTAGCCAGCCGTGCCAGAGAAGCCACTTCGTCCTCCGGGACTCCTCACCCACCTCAGGGGCCCACTGACCCTGAGGACCGACGCAGGTAGGAGCGAAGTGCCTCGCGGCCATCCCTGTTCTTTCCACATCCATCACCTTATCCTCCTCGTCGAGTTCCCTCCTCCTCTTTGATACAAACGGTCTTGTTGCTTCTGCCTTGTACACAGTTCTGCGCAAATTTCCCCGAACTGGATGGGCATGAATTCACCAGGCCAGTCAGATGAACGGGAAAACCAGGGAAAATGGGACGAACGCTTGAAAAGACCCAAGAGTTCTGAGGACGCAGTGAAAACGTGACACTGGCGTGTACCAATCACGAAGACAAGCAGGCACGGCAGCAGACCGCCCTGTCCGCTGCGCAGGGCCACCAAGTCACGCTGATCCCACGGGACTTCTCAGGTGAACGGCAGAGAGGGGGCTGTCAACCAGAGTCAATGCAAAACCAGGGTGACCCTGTCATCCGGGTCGGGCGGAGCCCAGAGACAGAAGCACACCAGCTCTCTGAGCACCAAAGTTTCACGTAAAGAACTGTTAGGAGCGCTAACTCGCCACGGACACAGCAGGCGCACACGCAGGAAGCAACACGACTACCCGTGGGGTCAGGGAACCGAAGGAGGGAATTCCGGAAACTAGGCAAAGGGCTCCGCACGGCTGAGGGTGGGCTGCTGCTGGCACCGGGGTCTCTGTGCTCACGGGCGGGGACCCGAGAGGCTGAGAGGGAGAGAGGCCCACCTGACGCCCAGATGTCCTGAGCAGCTACTACTGGCAGGCACTCTGGCCTGGAGGAAGAAGGGTTACAGGGGCGTCACTCAAAGAGGAGCAGGCAGGAAGTCCCCGGGCCCCTCTCCCTCCTCCACCCCCCTCCAGTCTCCTTCTGGAGCCCTTAAGGCAGAGCCCAACAGGGAGCGGGGTCAGAGCCCCAACGGGGAGATGCTGGGTCAAGAGGACGCTCCTGCAGGGCAACGGGATGGGAGATGGGTCGTAACCAGGAGGACTGATCAAATAAATGAACAAACTCAGGATAACGGGAGCCAGGGTCCTCACTGTCAGGGAAGGGAGTTACCAATAAGGGAGAATTGGGGAGCCTGGGCGGCTCAGTCGTTTGAGCGTCCGACTTCAGCTCAGGTCACGGTCTCATAGCTCGTGAGTTCGAGCCCCGCATCGGACTCTGTGCTCACAGCTCTGCTTCGGATTCTGTCTCCCTCTCTCTCTGCCCCTCCCCCACTCACGCACTGTCTCTCAAAAATAATAAACATTAAAAAAAATTAAAAACAAAGACGAGTAAGGGAGAATAAACCCTGCAGGACTGGATCAGAATCGGGGGTGTCAGTGTGACCTCATGATGATATACAGGGACATCAAAAACACAGACCTGAACGGCTGGGTACATACACAGGGTCCTCGTTCTGTCCACCGACAGGCCAGGAGGCAGCAACATCCAACAACGAGCGCATCTAGCGCCTGAGCTCGGTTTCTAAATACCAGCCTCCGGCAAAGGAGCCAGGACTCCTCGGGCCCTCCCAGAGCCGGCGCTAGAACATTCTGTGCCAGAAAGCAAAGAAGGGCTCGAAGAGTCATGGGTACTCAAAATCAACGCCAATGGTCACAGACTACATACATTAAAGAGGAAACCAGGAGTCCATACTGATCTGAAAGTTTAAAAATCTAATGAGAAATGAGGTATTTATATAGTTTCAAAGTAAATCCAAACACAATAGTTACCAACAAAGGGAAACAGGTGACTTTACAGCGAGGTCTGGAGAACACCACTACCTAAATCGGGGGATCAGAGCGAACACTACCACCAGCCGTGTGACAAAACGAAATTGTGACGTCACCTGATGGGACCCAGTGAGAAAATGCAGCGTCACTTCTGTGACTTTCCTGCCCAAGTTACATAACCTGAGTGTAATCACGAGGAGACAGGAGGTGAACGTAGGCACAGGTGTGCAAGCAGAG